AATGTCGGGGACGAAAATTGGGCACATCAAATAGCGCATCTTCATACTGCCCATTTATAGAAAAGAATTATTGAATTACAGAAAAATTAATTTTATATTGAATAAAATATCTCTGCCTATAATGACCCTTCGTCAATGGTGACGATAATACGGCCAATCCATTGCGATGTGTCCCGAAAACCGTCACCCATTTTTTTTACTAATATTATAGAAAAAACATATTTTTTTATATGAATACATATAACAAAAAACCTTTTACACTGGTAATTAATTATATTTGAACTTTAGTATACGAAATTGCATTATTGTGAAAGAAAATAAGGAAGACTGTAAGAAATGTGTGATTTCTCGTCAACGACTAACTTCCAACTAAAATAGTCGTTATTCCATGTAAATGAAGTGCGTCATTTAAAAAAAGATGTATTGTAACGTTTCCAGATATATAAAACAGATATTTAAAATTATTTATTATGGAATTTTTTCTCTGAGTTTCTTAATTTTTTAAAAAATATGGGAATATGACGAGAATTAGGACAGTGACGGTAATTGGGCATTTACAATACTTGTATGTAGTCTACTTGGCTAAGATTTCCATAAGGACCTTTTAAAGAATTTTAGCTCACTGCTTTTTAGTGTGACCCACCTTTTTAGGGTTCCGTACCTCAAAAGGAAAAAAAGGCCCCTTATAGGATCACAAATTAAAACCATATTAGGTCTATAGTCCCTTGAAGTCCCTGGAAGGAAATATAATAATTGATACTGTGTAATATCCTACTATAGATACTGTATAATTCCAACTGGAAAGGAGTACGACAGGGAGACGCGGTATCCCCAAAGCTGTTTACAGCAACATTATAAGAAATCTTCCATCAAATGGACTGGACCAACAAAGAATTAGAAAAAGGAAAATATCTTAACCATCTAAGATTCGGTGATGACATAGTCCTAATTTCCAATAGTCCTGAAGAACTACAGGCAGCAATAACAAGTGGATCTCAAAATGAATTTAGCAAAAACTAAAGAAATGTACAACGAACTAATGAAAGGAAAGACATTTTACCCAATAGCACAACATTGCAAATAGTAGAAGAATATATATATTTGGGACAACTAATACACAGCTCGGGATCATATTTAAATCTAGAATGCCATTTCTAAAGAAGAAAACATCCGACAGATGTGTACTACCAGTTATGACATATGCATGCGAAACCTGGACATTTAAAACGGACATCATAAGGAAACTTTAGGTCACAATGGAACGAAATAGGCTGGGAATAGCCAAGAGAGACCGTAAAAGAATAAAGTGTATACGACAAAAGACCCAGGTAATAGATTCATTCACAAAGTCAAATCCCTCAAATGGCAATGGGCAGTTGACACCTGGCAAGAAGAACGGACAACAGATGGACCACAAAAATTACAGCATGGTACCCACGAGGAATTAAGAGACCTAGAAGAAGGCCGAACCTGAGATGGGACCATGATATTAGGAAATTAGCAGGGATAACTTGGGCCCGCATAGCCAACAATAAACAAACAATAGGCTCAACTACAAAGGGAGTATCTAAATATGTGAGAGAGGCTACACCATAATTGGAAATGGTTGAATAAGCTGATAATGATGATGATGATGTCTGAGTAATATATCAAATTTAAATATATTATTTGAAATTAAGTTATCGAGGAAACATAAAGCAAAATATAGTACCATCGTAATACACAACTATAAAACGAATTATTTCCTGAACATCGCTAAATCAATAATAAACTATTTTTCTTTTTATCGAACTCGGGAAGATATGAATTAGCGGAACGCGCAGATAAATCAAAAGTTTCTGGGTCCGGCGGATTTGCTTATACGGCAAAAAGGCGAAAGGGCATAAAGAATTGTGATTTAGGGCATTAAGCCGTGAGTGGATGGAAATAGAAGGAAAAAACACCCGTCGAAATATTTCCGTCTTTGACTGGTCGGCCATTAGATAAAATAAGTGCCGAAGGGGAGTTGAAAGTCTCGAAAAAATCAGCGTTGTCGTCAAGTTTTTTCTGTAAAGTCGTGTTACTGGACAGGGATGAAAAAATATTACATATATTTATGTTTTTGTGGGATAACCTGTTAACTGTATGATTTCAAAAGTCAAAATGTTACTGGGATTTTCTTCGTATGTGCTTTATTTCGTCATAGTACTGAGGATTACATAACAGCGGCCAGACTATATTAGAAAATGAAAAAAAAACACTTTTTATATTTAAATCATTTTTGGATTTCATCCTCACACTTTTATATCAAGTAGATACGTCTCAAAAGTAGGTGCCCGGTGGCGTAGAGGTACAGGCTCTCGTCTACCAATCTGAAAGTTGTGGATATTCGAATCCCACACCCGGCATTTCATCAGCCGACTATTTTTATTAAAATAAAAATAGTTTGGGTACCTAGATCGACTCAGCCTTAAATGAGGACTTGGGATTCACAATCCTGAGGTAATAATAGGCGGTTGAAGCGTATGGCAAGCTGTACCTTGCTACTCCCAAAGGCGTTAAACGCTATATACGGGAGCTATTATTATTATATTATACGTCTCAAAAGTGGCCCTATAACGTTTTTATTTTTTCGTATAACAAAACGAGATTTGGTGTGTTAGTACATGACAGAAATTAGGATTGATTGACATATTCAATTGTTTTTGGTCACTTCCTGTTTCACCGGAAATGACTACAACTTTTGATTTTTAAATGTCACCCTCGGTATATTTTTACTTTATTCGATAGAAAATGTCACTCTGAATAGAATGACTTATATGTCAACTTTTGACATTTTCGCTTAAAGAAATCGTATTTTAAATTTTAATATAGAATGCCGTGGCTGTGTAAACATAATTTTTAATCAAGATACATTTTATTATTATTATTTTGATTTTTTGATTTAGGGATTGATTGGAAAAATAGATTTGATCGTCTAATGTTTTTTGTGTTTTATCCTGGCCGGTTAAAAGATGCCAAAATCATATCTTTAATTATATCTTATTTTTTCCAAATGGAACAAAGGTGGCTCATTAGCATATTTAGAAAAAGCATTTTTTACGAATAATTTGGTACCACACACTTGATATTTCGAGTCAAATTGTCGTTATGAACGGAACGTCAAAAGTTGACATATGATATGTCATTGTATTCAAAGTGTCATTTTCTATCTAATAAAGAAAAAAAAATACCGAGAGTGTCATTTAAAAATCAAAAGTTGTAGTCATTTCCGATGAAACAGGGAGCAACCAAAAACAATTGAATACATCGATCAATCCTAATTTATATCATATACTAACATACTAAATCTCGTTTTTTTTATCTGAAAAATAAAAAAGTTATAGCACCCGGTATAATCTTAAATTACTATTAAATTACTATTAAGTTTCTTTTAATTAGTTGCAAATAAAAATTCAATAAAAAAGAAATATTTTGCATCATTTTTTAAATAAATCATTAAAAATACAAAGAAATAGTCTAAAACCAAAACTATACTAGAACTTTACTACAATTTTGGTCAAAGCCATCTAAATGTTTTTGTCGTGTACAGAGCTATTGTATTGAATGAGCCGTATACTGGGTGAGTCTTAAATAAGTGCAAATATTTTTAGGACTGGTATATTTCAACCTCAGAATGATTTTTTTGCAAGAAAAAATTGAAAACTTGAGTTTTTCAAATAAAAATGGATTTTCTTGTTAATTTTTATTTAAATCTTGATAATATGGCAACTTTGTTTAATATGGTTGGTTAATAAAACGGCAACATAAGTTGTAGATTAAATTTAGAAGAACGAAAGCTCAGGAGAAATCATGTGGTTGCCAAAATTTAAGCAAAAAATGTTTTTTTTTATTTTCAAAGTAAAATAGCTCGGATATTTTGTACTTATTTGAAAAACGGTAAAGATTTGTTTTCTTTTATCGAGATCTACCGGCCCTATGTAAAAATGTTTTGCCCTTATTTAACTCTCGCCCTGTATATCTCGAATGTCAGCAAATCCGTTAAAAAAATCGAAGCATTTTGTGTTCTATTTAAAATATACAAGAAAAATATATTTTATAATTTAGCAAATTTGATAGTTTGGTAGTGTAAGTACAGAAAAGGTACAGACTAACAGTAGAAAACACCTAGCATAGTTTCGATATCATCATTTATCTTAGTATACTTATTTATTAATGCTGCAAAATATTATTTCTTTCTTTCTTTGGTCTTTTAAAACTCTAAGATCACATTTAATAATAACGTAGAATTATGTAAAATGATCAGAAATAAACCCAGAAATACGGTAATATACCGAGTGTTCCATATAAACCCATTTTAATTTGCTCGTACCCTCCAGTTCCATTTCCATCCGCACTCTCTCACTTTTATGAGACACTTTGTACAAGTGATCATATTTTTAAAATATATCCTAGTGTACAATTCTTTCAAGTTTGTTATTATGGAATTTGGTAATGTATATACCGGGTGGTGCATCGCCGTTGGAAACATATGAAACCAACAACTCATTTTGAACTGTCCAAATATTGGCTCCCCTATTAATTTTACAGCTAAATCGTAAATAGGTTTTTAGGTTTCTGCCTATGCTGAATACACACACCAAATTTGAGCAACTTTGGACAAGCCGATTTTAAGTAATTTAAGAAATTAAAAATAGATGCAGTTTTTCTTAAATTAGTCAAAATCGGCTAGTCCAAAATTGTCCAAATTTGGTGTGTGTATTCAGCCTACGCATACCTTTAAAAAAACTATTGACAGCAGCTGTAAAATTAATAGGAGAGCCAATATTTGGACAGTTCAAAATTTGCATGGGATTTCCTGTTTCCAACGACGACTAAGTATCACCCGGTATGCCTCATACACTGTTGCAGGATAATACAGTTATTCAATAAATAAAATAAAGGTTGAAAGAAAGTTAGTTGATAACCAAAAACAAGTATTTTTATATTAAAGTTTTCTAACAGTTTTCTATTTGTTTCAGTTAATATTTGACGAATTCAAGCTGGGAAGATACGAACCCTCCGCATTAGACGGCTGCCCCGACGGCTACATGCAACTCAGCGAACTCGGACGCCCCTTCACTGGAGGGTCCTGGTGCGGCACCTCCTCAGGACCCGCAGCGTACTACAGCGAGACCTCCACCGTCACCGTCAGCGTCAAACTCTTCGCCTCTCCACAACTACCCTTCGCTTTCCGCCTACGGTACCGCTTCGTATCCAGACGAGAAGCCGTAGTAAGATTCGGCTCACCCGCCTCACCTTTAGAAAGAGGACAGGTTGCTCCAGGTACCTATTGCACCCGCCAGTTTGAAGAATGCTACCGGAAACCGTGCCGTTTACAGTCACCAAACTACCCAGGGATGTATCCGAGGAACGTTTCTTGTTACTGGAGCTTAAAGCAACGGATCGTGCCAACCTGCAAACACGCCATGATAGCCGTGAGACAGGAGGCCGCCCACAAAATGCACATGAAGCGGTCGATTAATGTGGCCGGTCTGAACAAAACCGCGAGAGCTCTAAGAGCTTGGCGGGACTGTACCGGCGAGAGAGACCACTTAATATTTTACGACGGGCTTTCTACGGACGATCCAGTTTTAGCTAAGTATTGCGGCGGAGATTGGCTCCCCAGGGTCGTATCCAGAGGACCGGAAATGCTGGTCGCCTTTCATTCGTCTCCATTTAGCATTCCGTTGCACTCGCCACCGTCACAATCGCCTCTTAAAGGTTTCGAGCTGGACGTTGACATTATATTCGCCGATTCCGATTCCATGGATTTTGCCCGTCACCGGCATAATTGTGATTTTAATATAAACGCTTCGAGTCCGGATGGAGATGAGATATGGACAGGACGCGGAAGAAAGGGGAGGTTGATCAGTCCTAAACACTCGCTACCCCCGAACACTACTTGTACGTATTGGTTTAAAGGGTTTGAGGGTGATATTGTTTGGATCAGTTTTATTTCGTACAGTCAGCGAGCATTGCTGATAGGAGAAGGCGGTCACGCTTTAATCGGAAACAGCTCCTTTGGAGGAGGATGTCTTACACGATTACAAATATGGGACAACAGAACGTTGATAGAAGATAAATGTGACGAACCGCCTTTACTATGCGATCATAGCGCTTTAACTAACTCAACCAGAAGCACTCGACCTTGCAGTAATGACGAAAGTTACATTTCAACCGATAAAACTTTGATTCTGCAACACCATACCGAAGATGGTACTGCCTTGCATCCCGCATTTTTCAAAGTGAAATACGAGTTTGTGGATACTCGATTGGGAGGTGACTTGTGGTCGAAGAAAGACGCTGGTCCTTGTCACAGGATATTTAAGAGACATCACGTTGGCGAAATCACCGGACCCCGAAACGTGTTTTTGTTTGGTAGGGGTGGCGCAAGAGATCTCGAGTGCGTGTATCGGTTCGAAGCAGGAATCGATGAACGAGTGCGGTTAACCATAAACAACGCTTCGTTCGGGATTAATCCGCTGTGCGAGACGGTGCCCGATCCGCACAGTCGGAGACAAATATGCGAGTATTACAGCGGGGCGAACGTTGCCGAAATTAATATCTACGAAGTGCCGTGGTCGGATGTTCGCATGCCTAAAGCTTGCATCTGCGACAATTCCACGTTATCGAACAATAAATTAGTTTATGTGTCGAGCTCGCGTGTCTTGGAACTCCACTTTAAAGCCAGAGATATGAAAATCACCGAGGACTACACGGTGTTGCATTTCCACGCTGTTTTCGAACTGGAAAAGTTGGCAAACTGTCCAAGAAACCAACGGTTAAGAGGCGACGGAGGCGAAGTGCAATTCACAAATCCTCCTTCGGATCGAACCGAAACATTATGCAACGACATGCCCTGGTTAGTCGAAGCACGGCATAACAAAAGTTTGTTTTTATTAAGCTGGGGAGCTTTTCTCCCTTTGAAACCCCGACCAGACGAGCCGCCTAGGTGTCCCACTTCAAACAGAATCCTAGTTTACACCGGTAAGCCTCAGAAATTGGTAAAAGCGATCTGTCCAGGAGAGCCGGGTATTAAACCTCTGGCAGTGCATGTTTTCAGCGAAGAATGGCGAGGGGAAGGTGTAGCGCATTTAGTGCAACGACCTCCACAGTTCGTGGTAGAGTGGATCGGTCCTGAACCCGCCGTAGCGGCTTTTAGTTGGTTGGAGATCTCCCGGTCGCGACACGCTCTTTTAACACAACTACAAGTGCCGGTGAACGCGAGCGCCAACGACACGGAACTCGAGTGCGCGTTCAAGTGTCCGGAACTGGAAGCCTGCATCAGCGCTTCGTTGTGGTGCGATGGCAAGGATCACTGTCCGTCGGGATTCGACGAGGCCGAAGCGCAGTGCGGTGCGACGTCTAAATTACTCAATTCGCTTCCGTTGGCAGCTCTGGCTGCGGGTTTCGCTGTGTTCGCTTCCGTGTTTCTGTTGATTTGCCTGACGGCGCACAGGTTGCGGGCTCGGAGACGCCGCAAGCTTGCCAAGAAGAAGCTGATCGCGGGTCCGCGGCTTCTGGATCCGGGGCTCAATTCTTGACATAAGGCGCCGCCAGTAGAATTTATACACGTGGACCGAGAAACGACCGTATGAGGTTCCGCGCAAGTCGGTACGTCCGTCCCTACGCTCACTTATTATTATCTGTCGGTGCCTTTCAGTGATTTACAAATGTATCGAGCGGCGACCTCACGTTTTCGAAGCAATGTTCGGCGATAACGCTGAATTACGCCAGATACTGTATTTTTTTTAATTTGTCTTTGATTCTAGATATATTTTTCGATAGCTTTTACCTCGAAGAGTTTGTAGAGTTACTGGTACTTTCCGTAAAATGTAGTACCTAAAAATTAGGATGTTTTTTTCATATAAACATATGAGAATATATTCAGTGTCGAAAAATATGGTCACCCTTTCATTATTTAAAAAGTTAGCTGATAAAGAATATACTAAAACATCTAATTAGAAATATCAACCAGTATTAATATTTTATCAACAAAAACAAAATTACATACTAAACAAAAGGTTCCCACTGTAAATTAATTACTTAAATAACAAAATGTGGAGTATATTTAAACACTTTTAGCACAGCCTATTTATAACCAGCCTGTCCAATTACAGAGTTCTCTGCACCTACCCAGATATTCACTTATCTTATGTTATGTAATAATAACTTACGTAGTTGGGCTCCCTTGAAACCTTGAGAATGACTCTCTAACTGGTGGCATGTATAATAGAACTTGCGCAGCAGGTCATACGCAAACACTAAAAAACAAGCGAGTAAGACCAGCTGGTAGTAAATAAACTGTGTTTTTTTAGACTGTGACAATATTTTTGCGACACTGTATTTATGCAAAATATACCTATATGTTTTTTATCGCTAAATTAATTTTTAATTAATTAAAATTATATTTCAAAGTAATATGTGTAATTATACAAATACAAACAGTACTTATCTTTGTGAATTGTCTTGTATACCACCATAAAGATAAATACAGAGTATACATAAAATTAATATCTTTAAGACTAAATTTACTGGTGATTCTATGTAGTAGCAAGCAATTCACGTGAAGTTTGCCTAAAAGGTGTAATAAAATAAAAATATTAAGTACGTCTTATGATCAGACAAAGCTCGATTTTTTTGACCTAGACAAATGTATAAATCATTTGTATACGTGACTAGTGTAAATTCTAAATAATTTAAAAACAATTGTTTTTAACAGTGAAATTATAAAATACAACAATTATAAAACAGAACAAAGGAGTCACTCGAATTGATAGATGGGCCTGAAATTCAAACAAATCTCCGAAATAATGGCCGAACAATAATTTATGCGGCTTATATTTGGAAAATTTAAAAATTAGTGAAATAAAGCGGAATATTTACTGCCCTATTGGTGTTTATTTGAAAGCCTGCCGGCAATAAATACAGTCGAAAACGAATTTGGCCAATAACAAAGTATGGTCAGGTTGGGCCTAATCAATTTGGTTAACCCATTGTAATTAGCGATAGCAAATATAAACATACGAAATTTGCAGTTTTAACGTCGATTAAAGATAAACACGGTTGCCGGATTTCCACATTTATTTTATTGTAATACATTTTGATTTGTTTGATGGCGATGACGTAATCAACTAGTTCTGGAAATTTTCAATGAAATGTTATTTGCTTAAAGTTATAACGTTCTGAAATTACTAAAACTAGTAAAATTAACACAAATTCAAATTTGTCAGTGACAACTGTTAAAATATACATTAAACTACTAATTACACCATATACAGGGTTCGGCAATAATGCGTCGGGTATCTATAGCTCTTATAATAGAAAACTTAGGCATTTTTTTTAAGTACAGACCTAAAGTATGTATTAGGATGTATTTTAGAAAAATATTTTAACTTCTACTGGCTGGCTTAAAAAAGTGGGAGTGGATCGGGATGATTTTTTAAATGAAACACCCTGTATATTATTGGATTTTTCGCTTCCTTTCTGATTACTTTACATAATCCTAAGATATTATTAAATATGTTTTGATAGTTTCGGAAATATTAATAAATAAATTAAAAAATATTGTTTTCAGCCGTTCTTAAGAAATTTATTAAAAATACAAAAATGTCCTTAAATCAAAGCTATACAAGGTGTATACTATAATTGGTCTTCAACCATACAGGGTGTTCAAAATTCTATGCCAAACTTTCTAAAATAAATATTTTTTCTTTGTTTTATTTAAATGGAACCCTGTATATTATATCTTTATTAGATGGAAAATTAAAAAAACAACATTTTCTGTATTTAAAGTATTTTAAAATTTTTAGCGGGTTTGTAAATATTTGAGTTTTTATTATATATGGCTCTTTTCACGGTAATGTGTTTTAAAAAAAGACGAAAATACAAGACGAAGAATTTGAATACCCGGTATGGTTTAAGATGGTTTTTAGAATTTGAAGAGTTTCGAATACTTTTTATTTTTTTATTGATTTATTAATATCTCTTAAACTATCATAACATATTTAATAGTATTTTGGGATTGTGTAAAGTGATTAGAAAGGCAAGCCAAAAATGCAATAATATATAGGCTGTTCCATTTAAAAAAATCATCATGATCCACTCACACTTTTTGAGCCACCCTCTAGAAGTTAAAATATTTTCCTGAAATTCAACTCAATACATACTTTAGGTTTGCTCTTATTATAGGAGCTACAAATGCCCGACGCACTATTGCCGAACCCCGTAGATAGAAATATTTGATAATACAGCTGCTAGGCACAGAGTAATTAATGCTTGCTACTAAATTAAAATTATCAGCATTCATTTCTTTATATAATCAGTACTTTTTAATTTACAGGATGACATTAATATAATTGTTAAAGTTTAGGATTAAATTTCCAATAGCTGCCAGTTTAAATAAAAATATGGCCTTCCTAATTATGAAAACGTGAGGACGCTCTTAATGTAATTAAAGAAAAACAGTGATTAATATAAAATTAGACAATCTTAGTGGCCAAAGGCGAACAGTGGTTGAATATAATAAAAATATTTTAGCTCTTCATTGTTTGAAACGATTGTGTAGTGCTGCGAACTGAAACAAATAAATAAGTACGTGCTAATAGTTATTAAATAATTACTATAATTACCTTTGTAGTATTATGATTAACTAAATAAAACTGCGCACATGTACACGCTCGCCGAGGCGATCCGAGTGCAAGGCATGGCCAAGGCGACCCGAGATGCTAGACTCAAGAACACCGTGTAGCTCTCGCGTAACCCAACACTCTCGTAGCCTCCCGCTAGGCCAAGAGCTCCGAGAATGAAGCGAGGGAACCTTGTGCAATGGAAATTTACAAGTACACTCTCGCACTTGTCTGGCCTCGAATTGCTTCAGCGAGTGTGTACTTCCGACATAAGAGTTATAGAATATATATTTATAAGTTTGTAAATTTTTAACTACTGTAGATAATGTTTTTTTTTATTTTTTAGGTAATTGTTAGTAATAAGAATAATGCTAGAGAATTTTATATTATACGCTCAGATGCAAAAAAAACGCAACGGAGAAAATTTTTATCAAATTTAAAGTGTTATGTTTTTGTTATTTTTAGCCCTATTTTCATGATTTTTTTAGCAAACTGTATATAATTATATCAACTTTGATTCGTAAACTAAGTTTTTTATAAATTTTAGTATTTGGCATATTATACAGGGTTAATCGAGGGGTTGTTATTTTACCTCAGCTTTAAAACACCCTGTGCAGTAATTTCGTGTGTAAATTTTCCTAAAATATAATTTTACGGTTAGAACCATGTCTCCTGAGCATTTTGTTTTTTGGATCATGTCAATACATGCCTTGGTTAAGTTTTAAGAGTAAAAGGAACTTGCTACCAACAATTTGCAATTTTTCCAATTATCATTACTTTTTGATGTAATTTTTTGATATGACGAGATGGTTTTGGTGACCATTGTCGTATCGCTATATTCCGCCACATTGGATGCTCTATACTAAATAAAAAAAATTAAAGACTAACGATACAGTCCTGATTTTAATAAACATTCATAACGATAACCGAACTAACGATATTAACTGAATACTCAAGAAAACAACTGTAATAATCAAATATACAAACAGAAAATAAAATTGTAAAAAATACCCTAAAACTTTGTATTACCTCCCTTGGCTGCTACAATTGCCTGTATACGTCCGTTCAAAAAAACAATCTTCGGATTGTCACGGGGTTTTTAACAGGACATTGTCTCCTCAACGAACACCTTAGTAGGCTGAAGCTGAGAAACAACGGCGAATGCAGATTCTGTGGGGAAAATGGGGAAACACCAAAACATCTTATCACTGAGTGCGCCGAGACGACGACCATTCGTGCCATGAACCTTGGTACGTCTGATGTCGAGGATGGAGAGCTGGCCTCTGTGGAGCCGTCTCAGATACTGGCTTTTCTTAAAGCCCTGAGACTGTATGATGAGTTATAACTCGTTATAACTCAAGAAAGGGGAACACACAATAGATCTATAAGGTCGCGGTGATTAACTCCCCTCCTAAACATTCTACATTCATACGTCCGTTCATACTGTCATTGAGACTGCATATATCATTAAGCGTTATGCTTTCCCATTCCTTTTTAAGAACCAAACGAAGTTCATTTAATGAAGTTGGTACCGCTTCGCGACCTCTAAACCTTCTGCCAAGCATTTCCCAAACGCTGAACACGATGAGCAGTTCCTAGTAGTATATAGTTCACAATAATCACCAAAGCCGCTTTTCGTCATATTGAAAAATGACTTCAAAAGAAATGATAATTGAAAAAATTGCAAATTGTTGGTGGCAAGTTCATTTCGCTCTTAAAATTTAACCAAGGCATGTATTGACATGATCCAAAAAAGAAAATGCTCAGGAGACATGGTACTAACCGTAAAATTATATTTTAGAAAAATTTACACACGAAATTATTGCACAGGGTGTTCTAAAGTTAAGTTAAAGTTAACAACCCCTCGTTTAACCCTGTATAATATGCCAAATACTAAAGTTTATAAAACACTGAGT